AGGCGCTCGGAGGGGCTTGCCTGGGCAATGCCGAAAATCTCTGCTGGTGGCCCTGCCGTCCCGCTTCAGCTCTGCGGCTTCATCTCCTGTCCTTATGTTTTCAGCCGATTTCCTTTCGGTACCTTTCTTCCAGATCCCCCTGAAGAAGACTAATGCTCTCATTGCACAGATGGGAATAACCTTCCTCAACGCAGTAAGTGTTTACATTAACTCTTTGAACCTCTGAGGTATGTGCGCTTGTGTAATTTGTGTCTCAGGTAATCTGAAATCACAAAACTGGTAGTGGTTTTATGAAGTCTGTACATACGTGTGTGGGCTTTTTAAGTTCAATCTCTTAACTGCTTTTAGGTCTCCAAATGAAGGTAGCTCATGGTTACGTTCAGAATCTGAGAAGGGAAGTTTCACTTCCTAAAAGTACTTCTGCTAACTTCTTTAAGCTGTAAAGTAAAACTGAGTTATTTGAATATGTTTATTACTGACTTTGAAGCACTAGAAGCAGCTACTTAAAACTTCCAGCTTCGTGCATGCTGAAAACCCACTTTACTCTTTTCATATTCTAATGTATTGCCATGGCTAAAATAATGGAGTGAATCAACTGGCAAACAATATTGTAATGGGTACTTGCTGCTGTATAAGAACCGTGTCTAATCTGGAGGGGAGGGCTTGGAGGGCATATGCTGCAGAAACCTAAAGCCAGTCTCACGTGCAGCTTTTCACTGGTGAAAATACTTGGGATGTAATTCTGTGTGTTCGGAAAGGAGTATGCTTTAATGATGGTGAACTTTTTAATCAACCTATTAGCTGACATTTCAAAGCTATAAATTTGAGGAAAAATTGTTTTACAATGTCAATCCTATATCTCTTCATCCTGTCTTTCCAGTACGTTCCTAGTGCACTTTGCTGTCCCAGTCGAGCTAGCATTTTAACAGGAAAATATCCACACAATCATCACGTTGTCAATAACACTCTAGAAGGAAACTGCAGCAGCAAGTTGTGGCAGAAGATTCAAGAACCCTACACCTTCCCAGCGCTGCTCAAAACTATGTGTGGCTATCAAACGTTCTTTGCTGGAAAGTATTTGAATGAGGTATTTTGTGCCTTTTTTTACTGTGACACAGTCCATGTGCATTTGTCCACCTTTCTAAAACATTCAGTGATTTTTATATTTGTAGCTGATGATGGCTCCCCAAAATGTTTAAAATGGTGTTATTTTGATGAACAGTTCTCTTTGCTGAGCTGAGATAAATATGATGCAAAGTTAAAATCTTTTAACTTAAGTTGATTAAAATCAGGTTCTGTAGGTGCCTGAATGTTTTTAAAAGTTAATTTTGAAAGGATGAAATCCAAAGGCATTTTTAGTATGTTCAGATGTGTTAATTTTTAGACATTATTATTTTAATGACTGGGGGAAATGGATAGATGATTGGCATGTATTATTGGAGAACACCATCAAGCCAGGGCCAGACCAGGCACGATGTTAGACTATTGTTAAAGAAAAAAATCAGTTTGTCTCAGTGTTCCTGACTGATACATCCCCTTGGATCAAAGGTCTACTTTCTTTTTAGCAGTTAATATTTTAAATATTAAATGTCCACTGAGGCAAATTTACAGGGAGAACATATATTATTGGAGCTCTTTATGTAGGTTATCCAGCACTTTATTATTGAATCACTTTTATGTGTGTGCTTTTGTTTTTTTCTGTTTTTAACTAAGCTGTGCTTTGTAGTAGTTAATGGTAAGCTATAAAATTCATCACTGAAAGCTCTAAGATCAGAGGTTCCTCTTGTGTGAAGGAATTGTATTTGGGACTCGATGAGTTACAGGGTTCTTAACAGCATTATTTTCCCTGCACCTCTGGGTGGAAAATCCTGGTGTTACAATAGAATAATGGAACATGAATTTTCATAGCCAGGCAAAAATTTGTTTCTGCGGATATTACTGAGGCAGCTGAGGGAAGGGAAACTTATCTGGCTTCCTCTGAACATCCCTTGACTCAGCATAGGCTCCTGTCCCTGCAGTTAGGCGAGCCACATAGATAGGAGTGGGCAGCCCTGAGAAGACGCGTTGTGTTGCTCTGAGGCACCCTCTGTTTTGAGTTTGGCACTGATTCAGCAGCTGCTTCTCTGTTTTTGGCTGGCTTAAAGGCTAGTTGTTGCAGATTATTTATCACTGAGGTGACAAGAGGCTAGCATTGCTTGAAGTTCGCACCCCCTTTTGGGGGAGGATGATGGAGGCCGTTGGTCTAGGTGAAATTTTCTTTAGAATCTTGTGAACTGTTATCTCAAAGCCTAAGAGTCTCTTGTATGCATGTTTTGATCTCCTCTCATTCATTACCTGATGATCAACCATAGGTTCTCCAGGATCTCCGTGTATTTTTATGTGCAGAGCAGAACAGGGAATATGAATTTAAATTTAATTGGTGAATGTCAAGCTTTCAGTTACTGTCTTTCTAGTTATTTAACCCTGGTTTCTTTAACAGTTTATACATGTCTTTTTGTATCCATATAGATTTGGTTTTTTCCATTCTGAAATTGATTTTGTCTTTATGTGGTTTCTGACTATTGTTGAATAAAGCACATGAATATGAAACATAATTTCTAGCTTTTATTCATCATCATTGAAACTGTGAGTCATTGTCTGTCTCTTTTCAGTATGGAGCAGAGGATGCAGGGGGAGTCAGTCATGTCCCTCCTGGATGGAGTTTTTGGTATGCTTTGGTATGTGACCATTCTTTTTTTAAAAGACTGAATTTTGGTTGCTTTGTAATCCAAGTCATGCTCTAACTTTGGTTATGAAAGAGCAGGCAAAGAGCATCTGACAATGTAGTGCAAATTTTCTTACTTTTCATCCTTGGCTTTCACAAAGGCTACTCCAGCTAAGGTGCCTGGGGAGAAATCCTGACTTGTAAAGCCAAAGCAGTGTGAGATAGCACTAAAATAAGTTTTGTTGTTGGAGACCAGTTTTGAGAAGTCTTGCAGCATCCTTATAACAAACACTTATGACCTGTTTGACAAATCCTTGTTGGCAGTTCATTGTGGTTATTTCAAGTAATCCATGTACATGTTACTTTGTATAAATATGCACTCAACTTTTTTTTCACAGGAGAAAAATTCAAAGTACTACAACTATACTCTTTCAGTAAATGGCAAAGCACGAAGGCACGGTGAAAACTACAGTGTAGATTATCTGACAGATGTACTGGTAAGAAATTTTGCAACACCTGTGTTAAAGCAGCTGCTTATGACCAGATAATACCTTATGCCAGGGGCTTGGGTGAGGGTGGGGATGATAATTTGTTAGGCTGCATTAGTTCATAAATACGTGATTGTGCTGTCGTGATGGTGGGTGGGCATTAATCAGCAGAGCAAGATTCTGGATATATTTAGAAATGACAAGTTTGTGTGTACAAGCTGTGGAAGGGAAAGGGATTCCAACTGTTGATTTGCTAGCCAATAGCCTCACTGAGAGGTTAATACTGACTGCTGTGGTGCATGAGGAACGTAAGGCACGTAGGCAGTGACTTAAATTACTTCATAGAAGGGTGTGTTTCATTACAATACACAACTTCTATAACAGATTAACTGGGCCAAGATTTCAATGGGAAATTAAGCATGTAAAAATAACTTTTTTGTTTTGTTTGTTAGATATTATCATGTGTCAGTATCTTGTAATCCCTAACTAATCAAACTGATAATTTAAAAATATCAAAGGCTAATCAATCCTCCATAGTGTGTGAGGGCAATGTATGGACTGTGCCAAAATGTGTAGCTGACCAGGGGAGTCTTTATCCCCTTTACCCTGTTAAGGTAAAGAGAGGTTACAAAGGCAGCAAATATATCAAAGATATCAAAGTTGGAAGAGATACTTTAGCTCTCTTGAGGCCCTGTTGAGCAAGTAGTATTAGCTTGGAAGTTTTTTTTGCTGGAGGGGAAAGTGTTCCTCACTTCCACCTGCCAAGCTGCAGTCTTAATTTGATGTGCTGTTACAGAGTATGAGTTGATAGTGCTGGGAGCTCATGTGTAGCACTCAGGAAAATTCTTCTGAGAAGTCTTCTCATGCGGTTGATTTGTAGTCTTCCATTGAGGCCCTAATGAGTTTCATTCCAGTGGGTTCTTGAACGTAGGCAGCTGCTTACTAGGAACAGAAGTGATTGATGTTTCTTAGGGTACTCAACAGCTGTCTGGTTAAATTTAGATTTACATCGTCTAAAGCTAGATTGGAATTGATAAACCAGAAGTGAGACTGTCCTGTTACTGGCATTGTACTGGTCTGTTTTGATCCTTCGGCAGCTCATAAGCATTTTGACCAACAAGTCATTGCTGCATAAACCTCTTATTTGTGGTGTGTTACCTATTGATAAAGCAGTGTATTATGATTTTCAGTGTGTTGAGTTCTACCTTCTGCCTGTAGTTACCAAATATGTATTCAGCATTTCAGAGGTAGTGTCTTGAATTAGCTCAATGGGCAGTGTGCACCATGCCTGCTCTGACAAATGTGCAGTAGTAGAAGACCACCAGGAACAGGAGAAAATTACTTGTGCAAAGTTCCCTTGTTGCTTGAAATGATGCACAAGCTTTCTTGCCCTGACTAAGTACTTAAGTCTCATATTAAGAGTCTGAACACCTGGATCTGTCTACTGCAGTCCTCACAGTTAAAGCTCCTAAAAAAAAATAAATGTAAGTTGACTGCCTCTGTGAGTTTACCTACATCATACTGGTTTCTGAACCAGGTTTTTGAACTTCACACAGTTCTTACCCTCCATAACTGCTGTCATATAACTGAAGGCCAGCCCCACTTGCTTAGATATACAAGTTAGGAGGAAGGAAGAGGATGGAATTCCTAGTGTATTGTTTCTTCTAGAGAAAGAAAAGGATGTTCAAAGTGGGGTATACTAATCAGACAGGAAAGGAGAATGTTGCAAGATTTAAATAATGAAGAACTCATTTGTGAGTAATATCTTTGAAGCTTTAATTTCAAAGGCTGATCAAGGGAAGGCCAAAATGGAACTCACAACCTCTTCTAACTTGCTACTTGAAATGGTATATAGCTTGAAATGAAAATGAAAGTGCAGTAAAGTGACGTGAGTGCAGTCTGGCACTGCCCTTCACCGGAGCTTCTAGTTTCACCAGCAGAAATGTGGCACCCCTTAGAAACTATGAGCTTAGGTAGATTTTGTTGACACTTGGAATAGGCACAAACTTTTGCTGAGCTTTCCAGGTCTAAATAATGCAAAGACCTGAAGTAGAAAGCTGTTCAGAACTGTGGGACAAATTATTTGTTTAACATGAACACTGGGGATTTTTTTTATCATGAGCTGCTGTTCTGGACACTTGTAGATGCAAGCAATAAGTTTCTGATATAATTTAAATGTTCCCAGTACTACCAAGCTCTAAATAAGCTACAAATGTCTAGTTTCTGTTTTTCAAATACTTGCTGTTTTCCTTTGGCGGGATGACTTCTCTTCTCCAACAAAACTGTTTACAGGCCAACATGTCATTGGACTTCTTGGAGTATAAATCGAATTTTGAACCTTTCTTTATGATGATCTCAACCCCAGCACCCCACTCCCCTTGGACAGCTGCTCCACAGTATACAAAGAGCTTTCAGAATGTCAGTGCACCAAGAAACAGCAATTTTAATATTCATGGCAAGGTAAGCTAACTAGCGAGAATCTGCCTAGATCATTCTACTGGTTTATGAGAGCAGTAGGCAATGACCTTCACTTACATGATAAGTTTAAACAGTGAGGCGAATAAGCTAATACCATGATTACTGGTTATTTAGTTATGTTAGCTTTTTGGGGTAAGATATGATTGTTGTGACTTTGAGATTTTTGCATACCAGTATCTTGTAAATAAAAAAATGGAGCAGCACAAATAAGGCAGTACAATGGAATTATGCTTGGTAAATGGAAAAAAAGTTAATTCCTTGTTCTATTTCCAGACTGTTCTGAAGCTCTTAAAATGTTCTTTCATTGCTCTTGGTATGTTCAGGAGAACACATAGGTAGTGTGCAACACAGGGGCTCAGGTGAAGAATGACGAGAGCCCTGTCTTCCTACAGACATCTCCTCGTGTGGATGGCTGGTCCATTACTTGAGCTCATGGCAAAGCTTCCCCTAGGTGACAAGTATATCAGGCTAACCAGAGGGCTTTGTGAAGTCGTGAACCACAGGGCCCAAGGTCACTAAGGACTTTGAGAATTTGCCTTTCATTTGTTGAAATAACCTGTAACCAGAATTGCTGAGCCTGATGTTACAAATTCGCAGACATCCTTGTGACAGGGCAGTAGCTTCCACTGCCAATAAACTTGGCCAAATACGGTCTAGCTCAGACTAATCCACTATGATTCACTCTCCCAATAAATGAAAGTCACAAACAGTTAATCTGGTGAGATATTTAACTTACAGAAGCTTTGTATTTTTGATTCAATTAGTTTAAAATATAGAACTCGCTACTGTTCAGTGTTAACTGATTTGCTTCAAGATGTGCTCCTAATCTTCAAGAGGTACCGTTGCCTAAATGCCTATCTGAAGCCCAGTGATACCTCTTCTAATGTCACTGTAACTCATGTAGTACAGGGTGAAACTTGTTTTTAGCCAAGGATTGTAGCTTGCAAAATGACCACGTGCTTATCAGCATGATATAAAAACATGAATGAGTGGGGAGAAAAGGGCTGCAGGCAGTAATGAATACTGTGCCCCAACCTGTTAAGTTTTGAACTAGGGAATGGAAATCGGACTTTTTTTTTTTTTCCTCTCCATAGAAGGATCCCTAACTTTGTCTTAGACTCCATTGCTGTAGTAACTGAATGCTTTCAAAATAGTGAGCCAGAAATAACTTCACCAGCAAAGTCAGCAGCTAGCAAAAAAATACAGTGTGGGAGTTCCCTTATGTGGAGCAAAAGCTCTGCATGTGCCTATATAGTACAAAGCAAAATAACAGACTTACTTAATGTTTGGTAGCTAAAGTCTGTGGATGCAGCAGTTCTACTAGGTTTCACAATAGGAACAGACTGGCATTACCCTTCTTCTAGACACAAAACAGCTACAATCATTAACAGTGTGCATTTCTGTAATTGGCAGTGTTGTGGTCTGGAAGCCTCACTCCTCTTTGAGCTTCACTGTTTTCCAGGGCAAGTACAATTCCTGCAATAGCAATAAACACGTATGTAGGCTCAGACCCTCAAGTCATTGATGTTGTAATGCTTGCTAGACAGTCTTGCATTGTGCAGTCTTGATTCCCAAATTAATGTTGCCTAGCTTCCTTATACACAGTATGTGGGCAGGGCCCGCTAAAAGGAGCCACCTAGGCAGAATCATGAAAAACTGGAGTTAAGCTGTTGTCAGACTCTGGCCAGTGATGTGCACTTTAACTTCTGCTTAAGATCCTCCGCTATGAACTGTATGGAATGATGGGTCGCTCTCTGGTTTCCCAAGCAGGACTAGTGATAGCCCAGATGAGTGGTTTATCTAAGCTGTTCTGAGAGAGAATCTGATTGAGATACATGTTGGGTATTTCTCTAGCATCCGTTGTTTTTCCTGCAAAATCGGAGCACAGCTGTGTTCAGATTCTGCTGGCAAGATATGTTATGTTTTCTCAAGATCTCCTAAATTTTTTTGAGAATGGGACACAGGGAGGCAGCAGGATTGGTGGGCAGCTTTGTATGTAACCAGTGAAAGAGACTTGACAGGAACTGACAGGGAAGCAGATTTGCAGATTCTGAATCAGTGTGAAGTTTCTTGAAATCCACAAAGGTTTTTAGGTGCTGTGTGAAGTTTTTGAAACTTCAGAGAAAGGTAGGAAGAACCAAATACTCCAGAAAAGAGGAAGATTCCACTGTAGTAGGTGACATGCCCATCTGAGGTACCCAGCACGTTTGTGCCTTATGGATGGCCTCTCCTAAGCCCCCACCTCTCGTGAAAGGCAGCTGGTGCACAGGTGACCCTGTCAGCTCCTGTGTTCTCTGAAGAATTTCTGCTGAGCTGGGGATGCAGTTTGTGATGCCTTTCCTTACTTACTCCTCTCTCAACTAACACACAAATCTTAGATGTTTGATCCTGACTACACTGTGTTTTCTTGCTGAGATAGACTTAGTGTCTCTCCAGAGAGTTGTTTTACAACTACTATAAAAGAGATACCTGATTACAACTAAATTAAAATAAACTGGGCATGGTATTAAATCTTCATGCCAAATACCTTTCCTTCAGTCGGCAAGAACAGAAAACAGGGGAACTCAATAATTGCAGGAGATATGAGTCACTTCATTGTGAGTCCCTAAAGCCTGAGCCTATTCAGTGTCATTCGCTTGTGACAGGAGGGAAATTGCTTAACAAGAGGCTCTACAGAGAGGAGTGACCAACTAAATACAGGCTCAAGCTGAGGCCAATGTGTGGGTCATCTCTGACCTACTAAATGAAAAAGTGTAAAGCTGCATTGACATGACTTTCTCCTTTATTCTGCTCCCCACTAATATTAACCTTCAGGTTGTTCACAGTAGACCTTCCCACCTCTTTGTACAGCAGCTGACCCAGTTCAGGCTGGTGCTTCAGGATGTGGGAGTATCACTTTTCATGTTGGTTAGGCCATTTCTGTCACTTCAGGGGGGATGGGTGAGGGGAGAAAGGGAGGAGCTGTTTCTGAAAGTTGGGGATGCAGCTAGAAGAATCAATAACACATCAGTTAAAGAAATGCTCTTGTTCTGGAGTCAAAAAATCCAAACAAAATAAAATGGTAATGCTTCTGCTCCCTGCAGTAGTCTCCAGCCCTGAGTTCATAGGCTACCAAGAATCTGATATTGGCACTATGACAGATCTTTGTCCTCAGCTGTCCATAAATTAGGTAGTCCTAATTGCTTTTGATGCAGGACTTTCCCCAATCTCTCTACCTCTGTTAGGATGCTCGCCAATCTTAGTCCCAAAAGAACCTCACTTTGACAGCCAAGTCCAATCTCACAATGCTGCTCAGTCTTTCAGATTTTTTTCATCAGACCTGTCTCAGGCTATCAGACTTCTGTCTCTGCAAGAGCCTTCTCTAGCTCCTTTCACAAATGTCTTCCCTGAAGTGCCTTAAAAAGATCCACAGCTATTTTCTTCCCATCAAGGGCTGAGCATAAAGGAACTGTAATATATTTTGCATTTGCAACTTAGATTTTACGTGAACCAAGAGTGAAAATTGGAAGCAGTTCAGTTGGATACCGTTGCCTGGCTATTTCACAGGAATCATGTGGAAATTTTACCCTAAACAGCATTTCTGTTGTAATCAGTCTAGGAGAGGTTTAAAAGCTGGTACTTCTCTTCTACACTAATTGTTTTGTTTTGTTTTTTTTCTTCAGAACAAGCACTGGTTAATTCGACAAGCAAAGACTCCAATGACTAACTCTTCAATACAATTTCTTGATGATGCTTATAGAAAACGGTAAGATTTTTTTGTTGCTAAAGATTTCCACTCAGAACTTCCACTGTTTTTTTTTAAAAAAAGAAAACATATTTTTTAAAAGGGTTTTAATAAGTCTGACAATAGATGTCAAATGACCTGTAATAGTTCTGTGGCATCTGTTTCAGCAGACGTGACTTTCTGTTTACTTTTTGCAAAGAAACTTGTAATTCACTTCAGAAATATTTTGCTCCTAAATGTGGCCATCATTTATCATAAAAAAGACCAATTGTGCTCAATGTCTCTACTGCTTCTTTTTCAGTGCATAACAGGTTTTCATTAAAAATGGCCTTACCTTCTACTTCACTTGAATTCCAGGTTCTTACATGATGTACATCAAATGGGACTGATTTATCTGCCAACTAATCTGATTTATTAGCTCTCAGTCTGTGGTCTTTTTACACGCGAATACGTGACTGGCCAAGGCCGGTGCTTGATTCCTTTTTTATAAAAGGGGGTGTGGAGAGTAATGTGAAGATACAGCTTATTCCCTTTTTTAATAGAAAGGAAGGGTATTTGTGTACACTGTAGGTGTATTTTCTTTAAAAGCTCTGAAACAAACATTAGCTTAACTTTAAGTGTTAAACTCCATTTTGAACAGTTATCAGGCATTAGCTGGTTACTTTGGAGATGGAAAACTGTTTTTTTTTTTTCAGGCTTTTTCTTCATAAAACATGAAGGTAAAAATATGCAACAAAATCTTAAATTAAGCCTGGAGACAGCAGGATCCAAGAATTTAATAACTCAAGTTAATTGAGCTTAATACTATTCTATGGAGGCTTGTTACTGACTTACCAGAAGCAGTCACTTGTCTCAACGGCAAACCCCATGACAAAGGAAAGGATAGCTTGTAGCTGTTCAAGGCTTTAGATACACTGGAATAATGTACCCTGATATTACATGAGTAATTCAAAATAGTTGATGTAGTTTTCAGGCAGAAAGGATCCCATATAGACAATTAAATTCATGGCAGTCTTGTATTTTAATATTAAAAACTACATATAAAGAACTAGTAACAAGTGACCTTGCAGGAGATAACTCTCTCTGCCACTGTATTGCTTCAGAGTTGGTCTTGACTGTCTGCAGATAAGAAGTAATCAGCATTTTGATGTCGTTCTCAGATGCTGCAGAATACAATCAGCAAGAACTGAAGACAAACAGTCTATTTCTATCTTAAATTGCAGCCTCAAAAAGTACAATGTAGTAATCTATGAAGTTTGTTTTCAGAATTTGCAAGCAAAATAATCCACTTAGAGCACATATGCTGTTGGCTTGAAGCAGAATACCAATGCCCTGCCTGAAGTCAGAATTATTCTAAAGTTTTCATACTCTAATATGAATTACTTGTTTCTGTATAGGTGGCAAACTCTGCTCTCAGTAGATGACCTGGTAGAGAAACTAGTGAAGAAACTGGAACTGAATGGAGAATTGGAGAACACGTACATCTTTTACACATCAGACAATGGCTTCCACACTGGTAAAATTTTCTCTGCTTACTGAACTTTGGTAGAAGATCCAGGAATTGTATAACATTTAACCCTTGTGAATAGTTCCAGAAAATGGGAACAGCAGCTGTGGGAAACTGTAGACATGAGAAGTACTGGTTTGAGTTGCGAAACAATCTAGAGTTGCAGTGTGGAGTGTTTGGGGATTTTACTTTTTGTTTCATTTTTGTTTAGTCGCAGTTTTTAGCATTAATCTTGACCACGATATCCTGGTATGCATAAAATTAGGACAGAAACAGAGAAAAGGGCTTTAAACTGAAAGAGGGTAGGTTTAGATTAGATATTAGGAAGAAGTTCTTTAGTGTGAGGGTGGTGAGACACTGGAACAGGTTGCCCAAAGAGGTTGTAGATGCCCCCTCCCTGGAAGTGTTTAAGACCAGGGTGGATGAGGCTTTGAGTAACCTGATCTAGTGTAAGGTGTCCCTGCTCATGGCAGGGGGGTTGGAACTAGATGATCTTTAAGGTCCCTTCCAACCCAAACCATTCTATGATTCTATGATTCTATGAAAAGGTCTCTCCTCTGTAGGAAGAGTTGCTGTGGAAGAGTTAACCAGTAAAAATCTGTCAAAAGACTTGTCTGTATCATATTGTACAACTGAAAATGCAGATCTAAGATGTTAAACTTTGTAAGATACGGTTTATACTTTGAAGTTCTCTGTTCCTTTCCTCCACCTTGTTAATGTAGTTCAGGTTAAGAATCTCTTCTAACCTCTTAAAGAATTGGCTGCTGGAAATTATGTAATACAAGACTCTTAAAACATAAAACAAGAAGCCATGTAACTTGTTCCATTTTCTATTGTATAGGCCAGTTTTCTTTGCCAATAGACAAACGGCAGCTGTATGAGTTTGATATCAAAGTTCCATTGCTAGTTCGAGGACCAGGGATAAAACCAAATCAGACAAACAAGGTAAGAAAGAAGTGAAATCATAGTACAGATTCACTGTTTCACAGTTATCAACTTTAGGTAATTATTTATCCTCCTGCATATATATATGTATCAATGAAATGAAATATGCAGAGTGGTAGTACGTGCAAGGACTTCATTCTAAAAAGCTGTGTGTTCTTGCTTGAATCGGTAAGTGGAAGTACAAAGACCCTACCATTGCTTTTGAATGTTACAGGGTCCATTAGCCTATAAAGATGAAATAAAGTAGTGTTTAGGCATACCTAAAATTAAAGTACTCAAAATACAGAAGTCTCATTATGACATCTGTTCGGTTCTGGCTTCTGAAGTAAGTTTCCTCACCCTGCAGATGCTTGTGGCAAATATTGATTTGGGTCCCACTATTCTGGATATCGCGGGGTATGACTTGAATAAGACCCAGATGGATGGGATGTCACTGTTGCCGCTGTTGGTAAGTAGATGGACAGGGATAGTAACTGGTAATTATTGCAGGGGTTATTCTTCAAAGTGAGTTACTACTTCCTTTGGTAGACTAGGTCGACTCATAACCCAGATTCTTCCTGTGATGTCATTTTCACATATGATGTTCATAACTTAGTGAAAAAAGTAGGTATCTTGTTTAAATGTAGATGTATTTTCATAAGCCCTGCAACTTTGTGGCCATTTTGTAATAGAAAGGTTTGTCATCCTGCCATTGATAATAATTCCTGTTTTGAAAGCTTTATGTTGTTTCCACCTTGCATCCTCCCTCCCCTTTTCCTTAGGCTGTTGCTTAAATCTTTGGTTTGCCTCAATTTTCAGTGGCACTAGTTTCCCCTAAACTCTGGAAAAATGCATGTGGCTTTATAAAAGAACCTGACCTTTCCAATAAGTGAGCAGAAGCCTATTTAAATAAAGCTGCTTGCAGTTGATCCTTTTAGTTTTAATTAAAATTAGTCTACAAATTGAAGGCAGCTTACTTGGAAACATAGGAGATCATCCAGATTTAAAACAGTGCTTTGCTTTTAAAACCTTGTACCCAAACCTTAAGCTGTTCTCTAGACAGAAGCAGGTAGTTTAAGCTCTGATGGAATCAAAAAGGCGAAACTCATTGTTTTGCTGTGTATGCCTGTGAAGGTGCTGAGCATTAACTTTAGAATTCCCTCTCCCTCTGTCTTTTAAAATGCAGCTTACAAATAGAGCAGCTTAAAATGTGTTTGCTTCTTAAAGCTGTTTATCTTTTCTTACGCCAAGGGTATCGGTTTCCATCTGTTGTGGCAGTCTGATATAAACCACAGAGAAACAGCCTCATTACAGGGATCTTGTCTGTAATACCCTCGTATCTGGCCACAGGGCTCCTATCTGCTATTACTGCATGATTCGTTATAAATTGAAGATAGTACTTTAAACCCTCCCGAGAAGTAGTAATATTTTTGGATCCCTGTCTTCTAGTTACACAAGACATTCTAGCCTGAAGCTAATATTTTAAGGCTGACTCAAAATAGGGATGGTGACTCGAACTGCCTTGTAAGCATTGGGCAGTGTTAGTGTTACACCAGGCATGGAGAATTTCTTCTGTTTCACATTGCAGTGGATACTAAGTCATGTTAACCTCTTGTCCTAGAGAGGAGACAAAAATGTGACATGGAGATCAGACTTCTTGGTGGAGTACCAAGGGGAAGGATACAACGGCAGTGATCCTACCTGTCCTGGCCTAGGACCTGGAGTCACAGTAAGCATGACAAGACCTGTTAATATTAGAAAATAGCAGTTTGCTGTATGGACTAACCTGATTCTATAAGTAAGTTCCCAGGGTCTTGTTAAGGAGGAGCTAGCTGTGTAGGTCCTGCACAGCATTTAAGAATTGGAGGGAGACATCCAGCTGTGCAGAACTGATGTGTCCATATGAGCATAGAGAACGCAGTCACCCTTTCAGTGGGAATCTCCAGGGCCTCAGGGCTGGAGAAACACGCAGGAAGATGTGGGCTTGGCAAAGTAGGGGCAGCAACATCATGTTCTTTCTAAACTTCCAGTGACCTCGTTGCACAATTCTTATCTGTGACTATTATTTAAGTCACTAGCTACTTCCTGAATCGGAGAAGGTTTGCTTTAAGAAAGCATCCTGTTGGTGTTCTCTTTAGTTGTGTGTGTTGTGCAGTTTTCTTCAGTGTACATACAGTAGCTTCCTGGACAAAATGCACTTAATCATGGTGAGTTTAGTAACAGCACTTTATCAAGTTCAGTGGAGCTGAATTTTTGCTTAAAATCCCCAGTGGAGACTGGTGTGTGTTACGCTAAGATCCTGGTGTTCATCAGTTAACTGCAGCTGGCTTGAGCCAGTATAGACTCTAGGAAAAGGATTGCAAGTGCATCTTTTTTCTTGCTCTGAAGTTTTTGTTCACTGCTCACTTCCCAGCACTGCTTCCCAGACTGTGTCTGTGAAGATTCCTACAACAACACATATGCTTGTGTAAGGACACTGTCAACTTCCTGGGATCTGCAGTACTGTGAATTTGATGACCGGGAGGTAAGTCTCTCACTAGCAGATGTCAACTGTTCACAACTGTGCAAGTGACTGTCTGCACTCTTATCTGCTCTCAAGGTTTCCATAAAGTACTCTGAAAAGCAGACCAGCATTGCTTGGAGGATAAACAGTGAAGTATTTATCTACTGGTGAGAATGTTTGACCAAAACTCTGGTGCAGTTCTAGGGGGTGAGGGGGGGGATTTGAGGAAGGGACAATAGCCTAAACCATGATTATTGCCTTCTGGTATCACCTAACAGCCTCATGGGGAGCTGTGCTGGGGCTGGGTTCAGTTCTCTGTCCTACCCTAATTCCACGTAGCAGACTCTTCTGTATGACAGATATTTTCTGTTACACTGTACCTCTGCTGTTCTTCTGTTCAGCCGCAGCTCTTTTCCTCGGGAAGAACTGAAATCCCAGGTTAATAATTTCTCTTCTACGGCTCACTTATTTGCCAGGCAAAGCTAGTATTTAAGTTACAACTGAGACAGGTCTCTAACCTTATCTTAAGTTGTTTGGGTATAAGGGACATAATGTACCTCCTTCAGAAACTTCAGATCTCGCTAGCGGAGCACCTGCTGTATGCACAGAACTCGGTGTGTTACAGGGCTGATCTTTACTCCAGAGAGCATGTTGGGTTTGAGGCAACTGGGTCACAAACCTAATAAACTGCATTATCAACAGACGTGCAGTAAATGCATAAACAGCAGGTATCCCCAGTTACCATGCCATCACACAAAACATTTTCTGGTAGTCTACAGTGAACAACTTGAAACCAGGGGGGTAAATCCCACAAGAAGGTTTTTGCAGGAAGATAGCAAGAAGGATTGTATAGGAGACCAAGATGCTGATTAGCAGACCCTGCTCTTAATTTTTTCACTTTCTGACAATTTATGGTGAAGTTAAATGAGTGTTGGAGCTTTCTTCATAGAATTAGGTTCCAAATTGATCTGATAATACACTTAGCATCACAGAATGGTATGGGTTGGAAAGCAATTTAAAGATCTAGTTCCAACCCCTCTGCTGTGAGCTAAAGTGACTTCACGTCACTTTTCTTCTTCCAGTGAGAAGGTATGGCTGTGGCATTTTTAGGTCACTCAGTTTACACGGGTCAGCTGAATTAAGATTAACAGTATTGGGAAGATGCAGCAATGTGGCTTTTAAAACCATGCAGTGAATCTTACAAGAAAGCTTGCAGCCAAAGTCTGTCTGGATGCTTCTTTATCTAAGTTAGACACAACCCAGCCAACTGTTTTAATCAACATCTGCAATCAGGCCTCCTACTCTGGCACAGACAAAACCTCAGCTGAATTCTTGAGATATGTTTGACTAGTATTTGTCCCACAGAGTGGTTAAGAGAGATACTGTAACAAAAAACAAATCTGCCCTAAAATCCTCCAGACAAACCTTCTCAAAGCACACACAAAACCTTCTCAAAGCTTGCGCACAGGGAAGAAAAAGCTTTAGCATACTTGTACATGCAGTCAAGACACCTGAGTCTGGCAGCTGGAGGTACCTGATGAACATATAGTGGTGATGTGACGGTCATGAAATTGTGTATTTTGAGATCCGTTAAGGAAAAGACAGCTGGCTTAGCCATGGCCTCTTGTGGTCTTACAGTCATGAGGCAGGTTCCATTCATGTGTTAGAGAAAGTCTGCAGTGTAGCAGGGAGTACTTCAGGTGGAAGTAAAAACTTTTCCAGCAGTACTGTACTATCACAAAACTTTATCTTTTCCTACACATGTTGTCCTGTCTGACCACTGAGCCACATGGCTAAATAGAGCTTATGTGTGGGGATGCTGCAGTGTAGCTGAAAACAGCATTTGAGACTATCTGCTGCCATGAAGTATTCTTCCCAAATAATATGATTAAATGTTAATTAGCATTTAGGACTTAATACAGTGGAGGAACTTTCTTCTACAGGTGTTTGTGGAAGTATATAACTTGACTGCAGATCCACACCAGATTAATAACATTGCTAAAACAATTGATCAAGAAATTCTAGAAAAGATGAACTATCGATTAATGATGCTGCAGTCCTGTTCAGGAGCAACTTGCCGTACACCAGGTGTCTTCGATCCCGGGTAAACATGGATTCAATTAATTATTATTATACTCTTAAATATAACTATATTTTTGAAGTTAAGCCTTTACAGAGGGTATTTATGATGGAATGTAATATTACTGACATACATACTGTTGTTTAATAGATGCTGTCTTGATCCTTCTCTTTTTTTAATGTTTAATCGCTATTTTAATTTAACCTACTTGATGGTATGAATACTACTACTTTCATCTTGTCAGCCATTGTTCACTTAAAATAGCTGAAGTTTACAGTTGGAGACAAGGGACCTCAGGTTTGCCTGCAAACAAGGAAAAGCTCTGCAGGTTTCTGTAGGCAGGCATTTCCCAAATACTTGCTCTGATTGGTTTTGAAGACACTGTTAGCAAAGAACGTTTCCTGCAGGACCTAAGCTGTATGTATTAGTCAGCTGTTGTAAGTCAATAGCACTTCTTACCTCAAAATTCAGGTTTTTTTAAGCAATATTTAAAATGGCCTTACAGTTGTGCTACATATGTTTGATTTGAGGCAGCAAAGCTTTCTGTTAGAATGCACCTCCTGAATGTGTAATATCATACATGCCAATATGCTGTTGGTATGCTCTAGTGAGCATTTATTGATTTGGAGACTTATCAGCTCCTTAGCTGCATGTTGTTGTAATTCATCTGTTGTAACACAGAGAGAGATTGGCCCTGCTGCCTACTGGTTAAGAAAGCAACTATTCATGTAGCCTTGTCCCAGAGCTATTCTAGAAATAAGCTGTTTCTAGAGGTATTGGTCTCTGTGGGCTGCCTGTAACTCACACAGACTCTGTTCCTTTCTGTAGGTACAGGTTCGACCCACGGCTCATGTTCAGCAATCACGGTGTTCGGGCTCGGAGGTTTTCTGCACAGTCCTTATAAGGCACTTAAGAGCCTCTTGCAATCAGCCCCCACTGACCAGTTTCTCCAGTGACTGCAGCAGGTCTGTCTCTGTACTCTTGTTGATTGCAGCTGGAAGACTTTTAATGGGCTATTCAAACCCTGTTTGGAAGAAAAACCCTTGTCTTTAGCTGGTTGCCTTGTGCAATATATGTATTTTACAGCTGAACTCTGAATTGTTAGACACAGATAATCTGTCTTGCTCAGATAGCTGATTACCACTTTTGTCTTTCAAGTACCTTTTCATATCACAGGCACAGAGGTGAACCTATGCCTATGAATCTGAACAGTTTATTTTGTTCTAAAAATCAATAAATGCATATTTGAGTCGGGACAGATAGGCAGGTGCTATTGCACAGTAATGCTCACCCATATTCAGTGTCATAGACTTTCTTAAAAGCTATGTTTAATTACAGGTTTTCTGTATTGAGCTCAAAGCTGTTAATGACAATAGCATACTAGCCCAAAATAGTGTAGGAAGGCATTAGTCAAAACTGTAGGATCTGACTAGCAAATGTCTTGTGCAGAATTAAAATCTGAACGCTAAATACTCTCTTTCAATGAGACCACTTCAAGTGAGACCAATGAATTTTGTAGAACAGCTTCGGTAGCTTGCAAACAAGAATGTAATTTCAACCTCCTTCTAGTTTGAAATGCTGGAATGGGTTACTGTGTACTACTGAAAAAACTCTTAGGGTTTAGTATAGGCTTCCTAGTGAATTAACAAAAGAGTGTTGAGACTAACAAGTATTCAAATAAGCGTGCCTGTGTTTTGAGCTAACTCTTAAGTCTGTTTTAATACATAAACAGAGGTAATACTAAAAAACAAAAACCCTCCACAAAAAAAACCAAACCAGGGCACCGCAGTAGAGCTGATGTGTCTCTAACCTCCAAATGTCTTGAATTGTCTAACATCTTACGTTGATTAGATTCTTGAAGGTAAATTATTTTGAGAGCAAACTAGCTAAAAATAGATAAATCATTGCTCACTAGAAGTTAGGCTTAAGAGGGCTATTTTAGGCAGTTTAAGTGCTTCATAGAGTGTTGCTTTTTGGTTGAGACATAACTACTTAGAACCTGCAGTAAGTGGCCTTCACACCGAAGGACTGCACGTCAGATGTCTGGCTGCAGTATGTGATCGCTTGGTTTCCCTTTGGAGGGGTGATGTTGTCTTTTCAGCCTTCTGATGAGGCTATCTGAAATGCAGCTGTCACTTGCACCCCAACTGGAGTATCTTTCCTAATCTTGAAAAACACCCAAACTTGTGTTAGCGTAGAACTTCTGTATAGATTCATCAGCAAAACACCTTCTAGAAACACTGAATTGTGTCTTTTGCAAGACAAGTTAATGTTGCCTATGGGCAAATCAACTGTGTTATCAGGCAACGTAATTGTTCCCTTGTCAAACAAACTGTGGCACAACTGTTTATTTCAGATCTTTTACCCAAATAGAGAGCATGATGATTTAAATTTCTGTCACATAAAACCTTCTGCCAAGTAATCATTAAGTAGGCAACAAAGTATGATTCTTTCAAAACTGTGATGGTACATACCCCAGCGCGCAGATGTGCAAACTGGATACGAGCAATGCTACAGTAAGACAAGCTGAACTTTCTTAGCTTTTAATTCTGAAGCACAGAAGTTGTCCTTCATGTAGCTTAGAGCTGCAAACTTCTGTGGTGGTACAAAGGTTAGATTTTATAGAGCTTTTGCCTCAAATCTAGCTTATTGCTTCAGATCTCTAGAGTGACCAAATGTTTGGAGAAAAAAAAATTGCTCGAAAGGTAACTTTTCAGCTGGAGCATCTGTTGAAATGCAGATGGTTTTGGATATTCAAACTACTTACACACTTTCAAATACTCAGGACTTTTTTTTTTCCTCCACTACAACTGTAGCTTTATCCTGTTTTTGTTTCTCAAGCCTTAGTATTGCCCATCAATATCCTTCAGGCTCTGTTTTGTCTTTAAAAACAAAACCAAAGTTGTTTTCGTGCTCTCAAGTGTTTTGTTGCACACTGAGCTAAACCTAAAGTTCACTTATGTGGTGTTATGCTCAGATAATTCTAGCAACTTAGACTTGTTCTCTGTTTAAACTTTATTTTGTTAGCTGTGTGGAGGCTAGTGTGAAATACACTGATTGCTGCACATTAAGCCCTCAACAGTTCTATCAAATCTGGGTCATATGTCAAGTTTCCACCTGAGTTAAGTTTCAGTGCAAGTCATGTGTGTTATGTTGCTTCTTAATAGAAAAAAAAACCAAACTTTGTTATGGGTACAGATGTGTGATTCTGTCTTTTCTTAAAGTGATCTTAAGCCATAAGAAGGAAACTTTCTTTTGAATTATTTACGTTTTGCCTAATAACTAACATGAAAGTTGACAGAATTTATATGGATTATTCAATATGTGTGACCAGATTTTGCCCAAATTAACACTGTTGCTATCTGCACACACCTGTAAACCATTTTGTAACTAGGCTCAATGACTTACACTCTCACCGTCAGAGAACCACACTATACCTGAAGGCTGTCACAGGTAGTAAATGTTGTATTAAATAGAAACTCTGAATTAATTCAGTCAGTCCTTTCTTAACCAGAATAGTGGTTCAGGAAAATACCTGCTTCACTCCCACTTTTGATAAAGGCTTAAGAACTGTTCAGCAGAAGCACAGTGGAAAGAAGAACAGGATCCAACAGCCACCTGCCTTCCATTGCTTTTGGAGGAATCTGTTGTCACTTGTCTGGTGTCTATTCCTATGAAGCAGTTAATTCTGAGTATTTTTACAGCCTTGAATGAACAGTGTTAATTCTTATCTTTAGTAATTAAAATACATTATGAAGGATCTTTATCGAGATTTAATTCCCAGCAAAGTGATTTTAAAACTAAATAGTCTTCCTGGCTATTCTGCTTCATATGCTATTTAACCATGGCTGTATCTCTACCTTGTTACTGAAGGCATTTGTGTTAAAGGACCTTACCAGTACAGAGTTGGGTTTAGGTAAAATGTGATTTATTATTTTTTTAAATCATTATTATCAAAAGCAGAGCTGTGAATTTTATTGACCTGATCTGGTAAAGTAGATACTATACAGGGAGAAATACAGTGAATAACTTTATTACATTATCCTAAACCAAAAATCATTCAGTTTTGTCACTTCAGCATAAGTGACTACAGCTACTACATGCTTACCCAGCACAGGCCCAGTAAATTGGGCTGCTTCATTTGGAGGAATAAAGTTGTAAGAGGGACAAATACATGCAAACACACACCCAAAGCAGGTATAATACCTTTCAATCAAGTTAGATTTAAGGCTGATTCTACAAGCTAAATACAATTATTTCATCATAATGAAACAGCTGTCACTTGTGATTAAATGAAAATGGATTTTATTTGTATTACACTCTCTCTGTACGTGAGCATACTTTGCTGTAGCATGTTGTGAGCATACTTAACTTCTGCTGTTTCGAACGTTTGTTTAGAAAGTGCCCTTCCAGAGGACCCTGTTCACTGCTGCACTTTTGGGGAAAGAAAAAATAAACTGCCTATCAAACTTCTATTTTCTGTTACTGAACTTCAGTTAAACCTTTCCCTGGGATCAAGCTGTGTCACACTTCTAAACACTGAACTCCTAATTTATAAGCCTGTTCTCTGCTTACTGCTCTGCTACCTCACAATGGCCACTGGTGAACTTTTATATGGTCACAGGGAACCTTATGTACAGCATCTAGCAAGGTGCCACATGACTACTTTGCACCAGGAAGAAACACTGAGGTGAAAGAACAAATTTAAATGCCAGCTGTGCCTGCTCATATTTCCTTGGAAACTGATGTAGCTGAATAGGTGGAAAACTTTAACAGAAGAGACAATGGAGAAACTGCTGTTCATAACTGAAATCAGTGCATTCTGCCTCTGGGAAAGAGGAAGAATAAAATCCTACACAGGGCTTTTTTCCGAAATGGGAACTGTGAGCAACAGTAAGATATGTGCTACTTACTCACCTCAATCCCTGTTACAGAGTTGAATTCCCTGGATGATTCTATGCAACTGTTTAAAAATATATACATAACTATTTTCCGAACTGCAGAGTAATGTGATTTGGTACCTTTAGCCTCTTTAAGTCTGAGGCTTCTCAAGCCTCTAAAACAAGTATTTCTGGATTGTATTTTCATTTCTGCTTAACCATGCGGTATCAGTTTCATTTCTCCTTCAGTGATGTAGCAATCTTCCATTAAGTAGAAAAAAATATTTAATGGCTGCTTGAAACAACACTGCTATCTTTCTTTTGATGCTCCAGCTTATAAAAACCATGAAGTTTACTATAGCACCACAAGAAAAGGCAGCTCTGTATTACCTAGATACACCTTCCCATTGTGCTCAAAGACATCGCTGACAGCCCAAGTAACGCTACCATCAGGGTCATGGAAGCTTGCCACAATGTCTCCTTGGTCATTAATTTCTAAGAACAAGCCATGTTTGTGAAGAAAAATGCTGTAGAAGGATAAAGGAGTCACCTGTTTTAGAAAAAGAAATACACAGTGTTAACACTTCATTCGAGGGCCAGGGGGGAAATTCCATGACTAGAAAGAAACAGCGATGCTGATCTATTGCTTTCCAGAGGTTGCTCTAGTTAGATTCAGTGCTCACTTCATCTTTTGATAATACCCACTCGACTGTGTCTAAAGCTGGCACTCCAGTAACTGCTCACTTACTTATCTTAAAGTACAGTCAGTGCCTGCTTGCTCAAGAAGGTGTGGAAGTTATTTGAACTTATTCCAGCTGCCAAAAGCCACCCATTTTCTAAAAACAGGAATAACAGGGACTTGATCAACTGAATCACCCACTTCAGTATTTTTCCTGTGCAAATTCTAGCGAAAAGGTAGCATGGTTCTTAGAAAAAGTAGCATGGTTAATAATAACCATGGTTAAGAATGACTGGGCAGAGTTTGATTCCTATAGCAATATTCTCACATTTTCTGTAAAGAGTTCTTCACCTGCCTTGACAATATCATGTTGCTATAAACAATAGGCTGAGAGCTTGCAACTATGGACTACTTTTCTCAACACCGATTTTCCAACTTTATAAATGGCTTCTTGGTACTACTGTAGTAGAACTGCTGTGTTTTAACAAACAAATGTAAAAAAAGAAACCAATCCTCAAATGTTCCAGAAAAGTCAGTATGTGTTGGTATGCTGGCTGCTAAAGATGAAGCAGTCTCTTGCGTCTCCTAATGAAGAATAACAAGTTTTTTCATACTTAAGAAGTTAATACTTTTGTGACAATGATCGTTAATGCTACCCAGTGTCACAGTTACCTTTGCAATAAATCTCTTCAGGAATGGATATGGTCCTAAAGCATCCAGAAAAGGAGAAAAGAAACTAGGAAAGCGAGTAGTAGATATTCCAACTCTGTATAAGCCTGTGTTTGATAATCTGATGTTGTCTGGATACCCAGGCAAGTTGTCCACAAAAACTTCTTTTTTTCCTGCATTAGCTCCACTCACCCAATAGCTGCAAAAAGGGAATGTTGTGTATGAGTTATGGTGGCTGCTCCAAAGTGCAGCAAGCTTAACAGCAGGGAAGATCCATCATTTTGATTCATGCAAGGAATTTTTAAAAATGCAGAAAAGGACTATGCAGGAAGTACAGAGAAGTACAAAGAGGAACTAAACTTGAGTAACAATGATTGGTTAAAAAAAAAAATCATCTTTCTACATGTAGCATAGAGTACCCCCCTGTTCTAGTAAAAAAAAAAATCTGTTTGTAGCAAA